TCATCCTGACCCACCACGTTGAGGTGGCGATGACGGAACTAAGAATCCAAATTACAGATATCCGTTATGCTATCAATGCTATATGCTGCTACTTTTGTTTGTCCATTGTCTAGCGTGTGTATCTGCAAAAGTGAAGTGCATCCTGCGTGGACGCGTGGACATATGCCAAAGATGCTTGGAATCTGCTGATAAAGCCTTATCAATCAGTGCCTCAGTGGCTCCTGTCATGAACAATGTTGACATATTTGTTGCATGGCATCAAGTGCACCCACTGGTGCGGGATCAGCCAATGGTGCTAGGGTTAGGGCTTGACGTTTGAAGCATAAAGAAAGATCATGGTGTGGTGCAGTGTAGCAGAATCATTGTGCAGCAGTGCACCAGCAGTTTTTTTTAACTCGCTTTAACTATGTCCTTTTCCATGCAGATCACTGTGTTTGTATTGTGCCAGACTACATACTGACAGCAGTAGCATGGGCGTCTTGCATATAGACTGATTGCTTTTCGCACCTGGGTCGGATGGGTTGGTTGCTTGTGACGCAAATTACCAGCAGCTGAAATACTAAAGCAAGGCAGAAAGTGTGGGCATGTGTTGTTTTGCTCCAGCTGCTCCTGTTGGCTCGGTTGTCCAGCCCATCGCATGAGAAGAACAAGAATGAGCCTCCTGAGGCCTCGTCGCCAACCAGCCATGCTTGAATATCATACCTCAAGATTTGTGCAGACCGAATGTCAAGTGTCATACAAAAAAGAGACTTCAGAACTAGTTGCTGGCAAAAATACACTGTTTGTTTTCGATATGCAGCATGTTGCTCCTAACTTTCCTCTAGCATTTGTTTATGAACAAGATCAAGAAACGACATTGCGCAATTGCCCATTGAGCCATGCCAAAGTACAGCGAGATTTCGCCTCAGGACACGGTTCAGAACGGGGGGGCAGAGGTTCCGCAAAATAGAGGCTGCAGTATTTGGCCTCAATAGCTTCCCCATGCAGGATTTGAAAAGTCAATCGGCAAGATAGGTGACCTGGACACACTGAAATACAAATCAGCAGTTTTGCTTGGGAGATTGAAGGCTCCGAAGCTGATGAGACACTTGATGACTACCCTTTTCACATCGATTCTGTTTGGACGAACGGATCAATTGCTGATGTGCACACGTTGACCATGAAGTAAAAGCGGGACTCGGGACTCTGTCTTCTGCCTACTTGGACAGTATTTTGGGTAAAAGCGGCAGACGAACGGTTTTTCACGTCCGTCGTGTTGTTCGGAACCAGTTCAGCTCTTTTGAATTTGGCACAAGCAGAAGCGCTCCGGGATGTTTGTGACGCCATCAAACGTTCTGTAGCTGCCGATGAGAACTAACGTGGACAGAAACGCTGCCAGTACCGTTTTACGTTCGACTTGACTCACTGAAGTGTTATTATGGCTCATTCTCACACAAGCTTGCCACTGTTGTCTTAGGGCGATAGCCCTCCAGATCACAAGACGATCGACAAGCTGCTTGGCATCCAAAGTTGGAGGATCTGTCATGTTTCAAGATACAGAGCTGTCCCTGAATCAGGGCATATCATAGATGCATAGCCCTGCATAGCTGCAAATTGATCCTTGACGACAGGTCTGACGTTCCTACTTGGTGCGCGCATCCTTTGAAAACGCCCTCGTCACAGCCAAATATGTTGCTTTTTCCTGGAGAGATGACCCACCATGCTGGGATGCTGGCGGCCTGTCAGCAGCTGCCCTTGGTGCAGGAGTCTTGGGCTTTCGTTCAGCTGCCACATAGAGACACTGTAAAGGCTGTCATGTCGCATGTAGAGGCATCACAGTAAAGCCGAAGCTGAAGCAACCAAGAGCCAAGGAGATGATGGAACTTGCAACGGAAGCCTTTGACTTTGATGTACAACGGGTCTTCGAGGAGTGTGCGCCGGAAGACTTTGCAAACAGGAGAGGCTGCCAATGGGCTGGGAAAGGCTGAAGACCAGTTAAGCTTCTACTTATAACTTATAACTTATTACTACTATATATGTTATGTATACAATGTTGACTCTTGATTAATCAACCCCCCCTCCCCCCCTCAACAATTGAGACTCCAGAACAATATGCTAGAAAACCAATCAATTGATAAATAAATAAAAAATCCTTACTTAGCTACCCCTGGAGCTACTCTGGCAATACTAAAATGAAAAGGAATCAAGAAACCTAACTTTGAAGACATCTGGAATATAAAAATGAAAAGGAATCAATGGAAAAAAAGAAAACAACCCCTCAAAAAAAAACACATTATTCTGGGGGCATTTATAAATCCGTGCAGGAACAAAAACATTATTCTGGGGAGGGTCATTAATCAGAGGTCCACATTATGTGTATAAATATGTATACGTATGTATATTACAGTGTATATAATTGTATATATATATATACATTGTTTTCTCTTTTGTCTTCTTTCTCTCTCAGAAGTCAGTTTCAACCTCACGGGCAGCGGCTCAGCGTTATATGTATATATATAATATAATGATATATACATATATATATATAATATATATATATATATGCACGTAGATGAGTCTTCAAAGCGTGTGTGTGAGTGTGTCACACTCCGTCTCCACAATTTCGTTCCCCCGATGGCTTTCCCTTTACCCACGAAGAATCGCAGGGGATGGAGACACCTGTATTGCTTCTCCATCAATGAAGCTGGCAATACATGGTGAGGATATCAGTTCCGGACGCGGAACTGACGTACCTGCTTTCAACACACTGACACCATTGGTCCACCCTGCCGCTGTTTTGTCTGATTCCGGTTCTTCATTTCCCAAACTTTTCCCTTCACCGCTGAGATGACTCACTTTTGCCGCTGCGTCACCGCAGCCTTCAACAGATGTTCAACATTTCAAGTGAGCTGACCCTTTCACCTTGCGGCTCCATCGCCTTTTCCTCGTGGGTTACGATAACTGCAAACCCTGTGACTAAGTGTGTATCGCTGTGTCTTCCCACAGGGTGCACAGTGTGATCCTCTCGCAAGAGAGGCGCTGAAGCCACTCGTGAATCACATATCGATTTAGCGTTTCCTGCACTCGTTGAATTATGGTGTTGGTTTGATTTGTCTCACCCATGAGTCAACTGAACCATTTGCCGCCGGGCTCACGGATTGAATGCCGCCGGGCTTACGGAGAATGAACCCAAACCCCCCAAAACCCCTCCCCCCCTCCCCTCCCTCTTTCCTTCTTGCGGCTTCTTCGTTTGTTAGGTGTTTCTTCACGCTTGTTAGGTTGTTCTTGAGGCTCGTTTCCCTGCCCCTCGGTTTTTAGTCAAGGGCTAAGTCGTCAAGTGCTAAGTAATCACCTGTTCCGCAACTCCTATCTTTTTCTCTTGCCCTTTTCGTTTTGCTCTTTCTGTCTTTCTTTCTTTCTTGTCTAAGGCTTTTTAGGTACCTACTGAGGTTTTGACCCGTAATTTGCCGCTCGTGCGGAAGACATGCACGCCCTTACACCTACCTTTTTCTCCTGCCCTCTTCCCACGAAGAATCGCAGGGGATGGAGACACCTGTATTGCTTCTCCATCAATGAAGCTGGCAATACATGGTGAGGATATCAGTTCCGGACGCGGAACTGACGTACCTGCTTTCAACACACTGACACCATTGGTCCGCCCTGCCTTTTTTTGTTTGATTCCACTGTGGTTCTTCGTGATACTTCCCCAACCTTTTCCCTTTACCGCTGAGATGACTCACTTTTGCCGCTGCGTCACCGCAGCCTTCAACAGATGTTCAACATTTCAAGTGAGCTGACCCTTTCACCTTGCGGTTCCATCGCCTTTTCCTCGTGGGTTATGATAAACTGCAAACTCTGTGACTAAGTGTGCGCGCGCTCAGATGCCCCGCGGCAACCTCAAACCTGACACTTTTTGATTGCATATTCTATTCCCCAAACTTGGTGGAGGTCGGTTTCTTTTGTCCTTTGGATTTGTTCACACCTGTAACGACATACTATTGCAATTTATTGCCCTTTCTCAGATATTTTCATTGTTGTCATTGGTAACTCTCTTTGCTCATGATATCATGTTTGGTTTTCTACTGGATAAAACTAAACCATCCCAAGATACCCCAGGAATTGCAGCAGGCCTATGGCCTGATACATGCATACATGTCACACGACGCTCCGGTTTGATGATCTTGTGCGCACACGTAGCTCGGTGAATATTTCTAAATCCGTTCCTACTTGAGATCAATGGAGAGGAGGAGATGCAGACACTGTTTCGCTCAATCATATACGACCGGAAGTTTTATGAAACGTTTATTGTTTGCGCATTGGAAGTTAGCCATTTTGTGCATGAGCAGCATGGAGACTTAATATATCAGTACTTACTTTTAAATATGGTTGGAGGCCATCGCTATTAGGTTGGAGGCCATCGACATTATTGTGTGTAGTTGTGTTGCTGTGCAAAACAACTCATTGATTCGAACCGTTGATGTTCTATTGGTGTCAAGCTACAAAACTAAGTAGAAAGGTATACGTCAGGTCTTACTTCTCAGGTTTTTAGAGTCGAGTTTTTTTACATCATGAGCCTTAACTTCTGCCAGGACAGACAGAAGTCAGATGCTGGCGTATGCCCCTTCGCCAGAAATCATTTGCCAGCGTGACAAGTTCGTTCAGAGTGAGTGCCATTGATTGGGTTGAGAAGAGAACATGTCAAACCAACTGTTCAGGACACAAAAATGGATTCAGAGCCAAGGTTGCTGACTGTGCTGCCTATGAGCTGTTTCGACAACAGCAACCAGAGGTGCCATTTTGCAAATTCTCTGTGAATTGCACCGTCTCCAGAACGTAAACCAAGACTCAGACCACCCAAGATGCACAAAGAGATGTCGACTCCCTGCTTCAGCAGAGTTTTGCTGTTGGAGCACGTGTGCAGGACTACCGCTGTGCTGCATACATGTTCATTTGCATGCAGCAGTTAAGTTTGCAAGCATATCACGAAAACAGCAACGGGTTTTCAGGCAGCAGGCAATCCTCGCGCAGTTGCCGGCTTTTCGGTCGGTGAGATCGCTGCATTGGTTGCTGCTGGCATCATATCCTATGACCAAGGTCTCACAATTGTCAAGGCTTGGTTGTTGTCATCACGATAGAGCAGACGCTGGGTTGATATATATATATAATTCATTGGAAGAGAAGGATAAAAGGCATTGTGTAATCATCTCCTTGATCCAAATGGAAGACATATAGAACTTGTTTTTGTAGCACGAGCGTGAGCAACGAAGCTGGAGTATGCGGGAGTCCTCTAACTTCCACCAGTTTTGGTGCTTTGAATTTGGCATAGTTTAGTCGCTGGGTTGCGATACACAATACAACAGGCAACCATAAAAGGATACAAAAGGCAAGAGGTACATCATGGCTTCTAGCAGTTCATTTCTGAAACCTTGTTGAATCTTGTGCTTGATACTTACAGTGAATCTGCAGGCACGTGCAGAAGCCATGCAGCGGTGGGTAGATGAAGAAGAGATGGCCGCCCTGGCAGTTTTCGGCATGGAGGAGGACCAGCTCAATCATTTATGTGCTCGGGTGGATCCAGAGGGCATCATGTCTCGAATTGCAGTGGAAATCGTCAGCTGGATCCCGAATGGACTCTCTAAGTCTCTAAGTGTCAATTGAAGCAGTAAGTGTCAGCCATTAAAAGATATGCTTTTACACTTTACACATCACTCAATTGTAGAGTTCATGTAAACCGTGCACATATTTACCAAACAGCCCTCCCTTTGGTAGATAGTTCGATTGGAGCGCAGCTCAGGTAAACCTGCACAGAAGGCAGGAGGGGTTTTGAGTGTCATTGTCCAATCGCAGTTTTCTTCGACACAGAGTGGGCACATGTAGTAGGATTAGTAGGAGATCCGGTGTGCTTCCCTCATTGTCCAATCTTCCTGAGGTATTCATTTCGCATTGCTGGGGACGCAAGGGCTTTGTATGCTCGGGTGCTTCAGCGGCTGTGGAACTTCTGGAAGTCCTGGTTGAGAACGAGCCGCTTTGCTGCACAGTATGCTGAGTACGCAGCCCAGGTGTGATGGACGGCACGCGGCTTGCTTGTGCATCATGCATATGATTCACACCTTCCAACAACAAGGGTCATGTAGACTGTAGACTGTTGCTCAATAAAGATTCCCGACTCCCAATCTGTAAAAACGTGGTTTTATATGGTTTTATTATACAGTATATGTTTTATTCAACAGTCTGCATTCATTTCAATTTCGTTGTGTCATGCCGGAGTCATGCCTATGGAATTCCTACAACCCTTTGAGTTTGTTCATTGTCCGAACCACTCAAACTGCTCGAACATGCGACCTGATTCTGTAAACACGCAGCTGAGGGCTCAACAGGAGGCGGCGCTGGAGTTGCACGAAGACTTTGATGATGTCCTTTCATGTCCTTTTAAAGATACCCTGCTGCCTAGGCCATACTACAATGGAAAGACTATAATCCTGGATAGACTACAATGGATAGTACAATGGATAGACTACAATGAAAAGACTATAATCCTGGATAGATATAAGGCCATACTACAATGGGCCATACTACAATGGATAGACTTCATGATGCCAATTGTTCTCTTTCCTATTCTTTCCTGCACTGGAGTTTGACTGCTCGTGCAGAGTATTTCTCGCACTCCACTTGCTTGGCCGACAGGTCGTATACAAGCAGCGACTGGAATTTCGCTTGGACGCAGGAGAGATACTCAGCAAAGTATCCAGCTCCAGGTCGGCTAACCTGTTGGAAATGTCAGCAGCGGTGAGCAGCCAGGACATACTCCGCTTGCAACAGCAGTGGCAGCTGAGGCAGGGCTAGACAGAACAAGAATGAACAAAAGTTCAGGGCATGGAACGAGCATCATGTACCAATAACCGGAATGAAATTCCATGGAACGGGGATCAGCGATATGTGAAACAAATGTGACTCAGATCGGTTTCACATATCCTCCGCAAGGTGGAGGAAGTGATAAAGAGCATTCAAATGAGACCGTGCTGCACTTCAGCGAAACAAGCAACGACGCAGAAGAAGTCCACGATTGTGTTTACCTCTCACCAGCAGACCGCAATATTCCAAGGAATCCACCGCAATGTGAGGCGAGCCTTTCTTGAAGTGAGTATATTTTAACGAGGCATAGATTAGTGCAACAAACGGTGCAACACCAAGGAATTTGTGCAACAGACATGTTCAGTTAGCTAGCAACAGGTCTATTTCAATTGCGGCTTTCGAGTTGCTGCTGGGGAGGTCCGACAAGATTCGGCTCTTTTGCAACTGAATTTGGCCATAGCTCGGGGATCATAACAACATATAACAACTATGGCTAGGAGAGATCTATGGAATCACTGGCAGGATCCTTCAGTCTTTGCACCCTATTTGATCCAGCAGCTGCTCATGCCCTTGCGTGCGGACCCCCAGGCCTTCATCCATCTTTCGTGCGGCCCGTCATCGTCGGTCGAAGGTTGGGATGTGACCATCCGAAACAGCTTGCAGCGCGGGATTCGACGCTTCTTTGAGTGTGGGCCAGGGCAAAGCCTCAAGGCGGGGTTGAAGGTGGGCCGAATGGATTCACTCGGATGCGGAAGATGACCGATTTGTCACTTTGCCCCCAGTTGGAAATGCTTATGGTCATGATAGCATCGCAAGTTGTTGCGTATGAATCACCTGGCATGGGCATGATTTTACATGAATATCTACGATTACAACCGATGCATCCGAACATCCGATACATGAAACAGATGAGCAAAGCAATGCATGGATCAATTTATAGCATTGATATGGGATTTAAGGGCTGACGCCCGACAGCCGGTCAGGGCTACCACGATGCAGGTTATGCACGCCGGTGCGGCGCGCATTTCTAGCAGTCTTGGGTCTATGTTGAAGCCATCTCGGGTATATGTTGAGGCCATGTTGGGGTGTTTGACTTGATCTATGTTGACATGGCCTCAAGATGCAACTTTTTCCGTCCCGGACCCCCTCTCAGAGGCCCAAACCCTGTAAAAACCATGCTTTTTTGACGTGGCCAAGATGAAATCCGGCCCCATCCAAGCGCACGAAACACTGTAAAACACGACGTGCTTGAACGTCACGCGCAAAAGACACTGTAAAGCACAGGGGCGTAGATATCTCCAGGTCTAACCCCCTGGGTCGGCGGGACCCTCTCTCCTTTGGAGAGGAGAGAACCCTTCGCGACCACGGTGGGCCCCTGGCCGGATTTTGCATCGCGAACAGCCTGCGCGGCAGAACGCACCGAAGCTCGGAAGTCAGTCACGATGGTCGACACCGATTCCTCCAGGACTTGATGATCTTCAATAGCTTCACGGCGTCGCCTTCTCAGACCATCAGGCGGGTGACCACCTGGTCCAAGACCACCTCCCATGAAGGGCATCCAGGCCTCAACAGATCAAGAGGCCATCAGAGGCCTAAGCGCACACAAAGTTAAATTTGTTCCACCTTTGTGGCATGGAGTTCCATGTCTCCTCATCGGACAGGCCTGCTGAGTTGACCACACTTGTGCAGTGCTGATGCCTTTGAAAGCCGGAAAGCCGTGCATGATAAAATCGCGCGCGCGCGCGCTCGCTCGCTCGCTCTCTCGCTCTCTCGCTCTCTCTCTCTCTCTCTCTCTTTCTCTTTGGATACATGTTTTGGGTTTGATGGATGTTGGTGGTTCCTTGTTTCGTTTTGTTTGCGGGATTCCTGGCATATTTGGACATGACATGGGTTATTCAAAGCTGCCGAAGGACATCCATCGTTCAACTTTCAAACGCAGACAGAGAGTAATGTTGGATACTGCAGACGGGCATGGCTGGGCGGGAGGTGTCATTTTGCGCACATGGCAAACCGAAGATGGTGTAGCTACTGCGGAAGGAAACACGGAGAAGCCATAGCTTCAGCAGTTGCACCATGCTGCGCCGAAATTCCAACAATCATTGTAAATTTCCTTGTCGCCATTTGTTTGGCTCAAACCAGCAATGCGCTGGCCTTGCCTTCAGGCTGGGTAAACAACCTATCACTGCAAACCAAGAAGAGTGGAGTTCTGCAGGCTCCAGGGCAGCGCAAGCGGCACCCCCAGTCTTCACCTGTTTTGGGTGTTTCGAGAAGTTTGGCTGTTTCAACCCCAATCTTTGAATTCGGCCAACCAGGTCACGCCATCCTCCTATTTCCAATGCCGTTAACAAGCAGCCAGGCTTGGACAATGGCAAAGTGTGTTAGGAGATGTTAGGAGTGAGACGATGATAGGCAGGTCAAAGAAATTGAATGACTATCGATGATGCACCAGGCATCAAAGATACTCTATAACGCTCTGCAGGCTGGACATGCAAATCAGTCATCAGCGTTGACACCCTTTATGTAGTAATAGCATCTCCAAAAATTGTGTTAGAGTGATTATATGTGATTGTATGTTACTGTAGTATTTGCACGGCTCTGCAATGTAGCTGGAGAAAACTCCTTTTTTCCCCAATCAAGGCAAGCCAAGATGAAGGGATATGAGAACACAACATGATTGAACTAGGTGTTCGGTTGTGTCATCGAAGTCATGCTCCAGGCGGCTATATTGTTTGGATTCGTTGGCTTTGTCTTTACATCAATCCTGCCACCACCTAAGCACAGCAGAACACTGAGCGAAGACGACTGGAGGATTGTTAAAGCCGCAAGAGGAAGCACGGCAGCGGTTTTGCTGTTGGTGAAACGTTTCTGTTGCATGTGCAACACAAGACGTGAAAAAAGCTGTGTGGACACTGTCGGACTGGTCGAGGGTCCCAAGTGTACAAAAGCAGAACTGTTTTGAGAGAAGACGGGGATGTCAGTGCAATTTTCCTTGCTAGGCGACCAGAAGCAGGCCGTATTTCATCCAGCAAGGTGGCATGGGATTGCAACTTCTCAAGATGCAAAGGAAAAGCCATGGTTCAAGAAAAGTAGTCTCTGAAATACCCAACCCGGGTCAGATTCTTCTGAGGTAAATCATGAGAGGGCTTTGATGGGTTTGATTTTTCTCTTGCTGCAGCTCACGGAAGAAAAGCACCACTGCGTGAGCAGCAAGACCTGGATGATTCTGCTACGGCCCAAGAATGTGTCAGCACCTAGCAAGACCAGGGGTACCTCCAGATTCGGAGTTAGGCTGCCCAAACTGAGATGAAAAGAACGTCCGTTGGCAATCGAGGCCGTTTGCGTTCTTGACGGGTGGGCTTATCAACATTGATGGTCATGCTGCCACGTTTGAGCAGCCAGCGCGCGGAGCCGGCCGCGCGCGGAAGAAGCGCTTTTCTGGGGCCAAGTCGGCGCTCTCACAGTCGGGAGTGGTCGCATACAGGGATGCTGACAGGGTCGACCATCTAGGAATCATAAACCGGCTTCCACGAGACCATCTAGGCTTTGCAAGCACGGCAGTGCTACTGCTGTAGAGCAGAGGATGTGTCCGGAACCGAGAAGGGCAAAGAACACAACGATGCTTCGGCACTAGGCAACGATGCTTCGGCACTTGGCTCAGGTGTTTGCAAAGCGAACGGTGGGCAACGTGCTCCGTTCACTGCTCTTTGATAGATTGCCAACTGTGAACGCAGAGAAACGCAGACACATATGTGTTTGCAGTGCAGAATGAAGCCTGAACCAAGGCTCGCGCATCCCTTCCAGAATGCCATCACCAAAGCACGTCCCAGAGTGGAGTGTGCGCTGATGTGTGCCAGACATGCATGATTTGTATATGGTTGTATTGGGTCCCTCTAGAATTATACGTTTCCATTGCGAGACTGAAACAACTCCTAGCTCATGTGCTATGATGGGCCTGATCTATGTATATAGTATATGTTTATAATTGCACAAGGCCAAGCGAACCAAGTTCACTACAAGCATGGGTTGGCACCCAGACCCAGACTAGGCAGTATGAAACAGCTTGCGAAGCAGGCAGAATAGCATAGTGTTGCAATCAAACAGTCGCCCAAATCACCTTCCAGTGACGTGAGATGCGACTATTGGCAATGATATGCAATGACCACCCAACATTGCAAAAGGCATTTGTTTCTGGCCTTCATTTGCCGCCTCAGTGACAAAGTTGCTTGAGCTGAACCACGAAGAACCACAAAACCAACATCCCACAAACAACAAGGAAGATGAGATTTGTTTGGTTTAGTTTTGCTGCTTGAAATTCTCCCAGGTGGCGTGTCACACAATCGCCTACGTTGTTTTCTCAAGCCTTGAGTGTTGTTTTGTGATTGTTGTGATTAAGCTGAAAGATGCTTTGGATCACTGTTTGAATGTGAAGAATTGAGTGTTGAGTCTTTGTTGAGCTTGTTGAAGATTTAGAACATAGTGACCACAGCAGCACTCAAGGAATTCAGCTGTGCTGAATCATTGATTCAGGAGCCAAGGATTGGCAAAGTGAGAAGACTCTGAAAAGTGCACCACCCATCACCACCAGAACAAGCTGCATACTGTAGTAATTGTCTTTGCAAGTGGGTCTTTTCGCTTGTGGAGGCATTTGCGTACACTTCATCCATTTCTTAGCCTTCAAATGTTGTGTGCAGGTTCCTTCTAAAGCTATGTAAGACCAAGAAAGAGTGTCTTTTTTGGCAGCGTCCAAACTCGCACACATCCATACGAAGCTGAGATAGATGTAAACGTTCCAAAGCTCCCTGAAGTTGGTGATACGAAACGCCTCTTGACTGCAGAGATGAACCACTAAGGTTGCTTGTCTCGCTTACTTTTGAGGGGAAAACGTGCAGCAGCAGCACAGATCAGGTTCTCGGTGCGACAATGTGAGACAAACAGATCAGGTCGAACTGCCAACTCTGACCTTCATCTTCATTGAACAGATCAGGCCAGGTGGAAAGTTGGTGATTGAACGAGCCTTGCTTGCCATTAAGTACTTTCGTGCCATTGCCGTTTTGTATAAGAATAGAATAGCCTTAAAGATCTTAAAGGAACTGACCTAGCAGATTGATGAAAACAGAAGAACCATGGAAATTCCCCACCTGTCAGGTCTCCTCCTCCGCCTCCTCCTCCTCCTCCAGACCTCAACCGCGAGTTCCGCTCGGCAGTGTTCCCCGCTGCACCTCAGGCGCGAGCTCCGCACGGCAGTGTTCCCCGCCAAACCTCAAACACCACAACACGCCATCACAAACACATGACCAGAAACACAACCACAAGCATGCCGACAAACACACAATCACAAACACACAGTCACAAACACAACGAAGCGCACAACCACAAGCACACAATCACACGCACAACGACAAGCACAATCACAAAAGCCCAATCGCAGCCACAGCCACAACACACAACCACAAAGACACACCCACAGCACAAAACCACACAACCACAACACACAACGACAGCACATAACCACAACACACAACCACAGCACACAACCACAAAGACACATCCACAGCACACGACCACAGCACACGACCACAGCACACCACCACAACACGCAACCACGACACACAACCACAACCACAAAGACACATCCACAGCACACAAGCACAGCACACAACCACAGCACACAACCACAACACACAACCACAAACACACAACCACCACACACAACCACAAACACAAACACGCAACCACACACACATTCACAAACATGTCAGACAGCGTGGCAAGTAGAATGTCAGAAGATATGCCAGAAAGAATGTCAGCAGATATGCCAGATAGAGCCAGAATGAATGTCAGAAGAGATGCCAGAAATAATACCAGAAGATATGCCAGATAGAACGTCAGAAGATATGCCAGAAAGAATGCCGAAAGAACATTGCAATTTATGCCAGAAAACGTATCAAATTTGAATGTCATGGTGGGGATTATTACTTGTTGCGAACTAGGTTGCTATTTATATGTTCAAACATCAACTTTGCCAACAACAAATGGATTGTTGATTTTGTTTCAAAGCCAAGGACTCCAGCATCCTCACCAGTGACCACCGCGTGTTTTTGGTCTGATTGCTGAACGTCAAGGCGCATTTGTAAGTCATACGACGTATTTGAGGGTATGGCAGGACGCAAATGCTATTTGGATCACGCTGTGTTTTAAGGCACGAAGAGCTGATTATACAATGCATTTCAGAAACGATTGATTAATTGAAAAAAAAAATTATACATTAAATAATTGAATTAATTATATAAATACCAATGGATGAATTATAAACAAATATTATATATATATTTTTGAATATTTAAATAATAAATATTATAAATATATATGTATTATATTTTAAATTTGTTTTATTCGAATATATATTGGTTTTATATACATTTTGAATTATTTTAGATATTAATTAATTGAATTATTGAAATATTATCGAGAGTATATTTTTAGCGTCGTTATTATTGATTATTTAAAGATAGTTCTTAATGTTGTTTTTAGATTAAATACGATATTTTAATATATATTATATTATTCGTGATAGATTTATATATTTAGGTTTTGATGTTAAAATATTGAGGATATTATTTGAATATCTTAATGCATATTTTATATAAGAAATTAAATTTTATATTTGGGGGATATGAAAAAATACTAGAAAGGAGCGCTTTGAGCGGCGCGTTTTTGCATTGTTTTATTTTGTTTATATGTTGTTTTTATATTTGTATTGCGTTTTTATTGATTTTTCTGCCACTGCAAGAATATTATTTTGCTTTAACCCCCCCCTTTTCCCAAAGGCAATTTCCAAAATTTCAATTTTCAAAAATTTAAAGAAACCAAAAAAACTAATTGTGCCAGGACTTTGCCTCACCCCTTCTTTTCCTTATGGTCTGTGGTTTTTTTGGAAAATTGGAATTTTGAATTTTTTGATTTCCTGGGATATTTTAAATTTTTAATTTCCTTGGAAGTAAACAATACTACCACTTTCTTTTAATTCTAGAATAGTCTCTGAAACCCTTAGTGATTTGTTTATTAGGATTTAACAATACTCCTTCTGCTCCTTTAACTCGAAAATTGGTAATATCTGACATTTTAGAATTATAATTAGTAAAATTAGTATCTGCAATTTTTTTCAAGTGACATACCAATAATGAATTTATTTTTTCTGTATTGACGATACGAAAAATTTAAACTGTTATGTACTGTTAAATTCTTCTTAAATAGTAAAAGATTTATGATAATGATTGCGCTTCAAATTCTGCGTATTTCTGGGAATTGCTTAATTGAATTTGCCAACTTAAACTACGGGTGGCATCTTGAAAACCTTTGTACCGTGTAAGTCATTTGTATTAGCATTACCAATATCATTAATTCTTCCATAGATCATAGGATTAATTCCATCTTTTATATACATAATTGTTAGGTAAGTATCGGTTCAGTTCTTCACCACTCCTTGGAGTTCTGAATAAGATAATGAATGCTCCAATCAGTTTAGAAGATTATTTTACAATATTCATATTAATTTCACCACCACCAGCATTGAATGTTTGGGTGATTGTGTGATAACAATTTGTAATGTTTCTTATCTTTGCCATTCCGCCCCCTTCTATGTCCTGCCATTCTAACACTCAATGGCTGACAAGTAGCACCAATATAGACATCGTCATTTTGTCATTTAGTATTCTGTAAAATTTTGCCTTGGAGTAATCCACCATAACATTACATATTTTAACTAAGTTTAAATGTTGTTTTTTAAATGAGTGATTGGGGTTAAATCCATTGCTTATATTGGTGCCGGGATTGATGTTCCAAAGGCCGTTCCCTTCAAAATTGATATAGCTGTGGCTCATTAAAGGGTTAGGTTCTTTCAAATCAGAAGTTACAGCGTAACCATCCAACATTGAAACAATATCGGATGGATTGCGGTAGTCAAGTCTTTTGGGACTTTTGTTCCTTTCCTTTTTGTTTTTATTGTAGGGGTAGCATAGGTTATTGTAGCAAATGTATTAGGTTGTTCTTGATTGATCTTATTACAGCACTTGCAAGGTTATGCCCAACCAAACGGGTTATTTCTGGTGACTATTCCAATTCTTCTATAACATGTTTGTATTTCTCACTGTGATGAACATTTCTAGTAGGTACTAATAACAGATCATCTATAATATCCCTTGTTAAAGATCCATTACAATCACCTGTGCCACTTATGTATAAAGTCTTACTTGTTTTGTAAAAAGCACTTGGTGATGAATAGGCATTCCATAAGCCCCTGCGGTCTTCTAACTTCTCCTTGTTTGCTATAGTTTTCTCTTCAGCATATAGTGTTCTATGTTGTTTAAAGTGATCATTTAAGTTTCTTGTAAAGTCATTCATTCTATCATTCCAATTTTGGTTCTTTTTTTCATAATCATTGTAGGTTTCTTGATCGATCTTACTGAATAACATCTGGGCGCTTCCAGGCAGATCCTTCCAGGCAATGTCAGACACATCAATCATTCTCAAGAAAACGCATGAAAAAGGTTGAAAAATGCTCATTTTCATCGAAAAACGCGCCGCTCACAGCGCTCCCCTCTCAAAAATAATTATATAATATAAAAACAGGATTACATATAAATTATGAAGAAAGATAGGGCACGCACTTAAGGACAATACATGTAAAGAATGATGTTATGTAAGCAAACAGGACAGGCTTGAAAGAAAACATAAATTATCTATATAAACCATTATTTGGATTTTTTTGTTTTTTTTGCAAGCTAACGACAATACCGGTTTTTTCCAAATTTGACCTAGATATTGAATCATGAGGAAACGATACATGACCCTTGTTTACACGTGATTTGGCTTTGGTAACATCGACCCAAAAACC